GTGTCAAGGAAACTTAATCTTTTGTATTGGTGTCTGCTCAGTTCTCAAAACCATTCTGCGCTACCTAAATATAACTGTAGGGAACATCAAAGAAATAAAAGGAGAAAGCATTAATTTAGAGTTGGGTGGGGTGAAGATTAAAGGAAGATACCAGTTTGACGAATTTTAATAAAAAGGTAAGGTGGACCTTCACAATTTAACAATACATGCAAAAAAATGAGTATGGGGAAGTTGGAACACGCTCAAGTGAAAGAAGGGCAATACCATTGACTTGTTAACTTAATTACCTACTCTTGTCCCTCGTGGAAACCCAAGTCAATTAACCAACTTTGGAAATCTTGTTTCCTGGAAGCATCCTATTAAAGTTATTGAGAATGCAACAGAGAAGAGAAGACTGACCTTTGATTTTACTTATAAGCAGGAGCCCCTTAAATCCAAAACCTAAAAAAGAAAAAAAAAAAATTACTAGCATGATTTCTATTTCATTTATCTCATTTTTATAATTTGATTAAGGAATAACTATTCTATCAACTAAACAAGTTGATAAGAATAAGAGCAGTAAACTTGCAGAATTCAGATTTCAGTCTTATTTCTGTTGCAGCTAGCTTGTTCTTCATTCCTTACAAATTAAATGCTAGAATCAAACAGGCAAAACACCAAAATGATAGAATAAAACACATGTAAATTATAATTTAGCACACAGAAATCAGAATTCAGATTGTAGTCCTATCTGGTTTCATAGCAAGCTGCAGTTAGCTCTTCTTACAATAGAAGATGCAAACCATACAAGCAGACTTTGATTTGTTATTTGTTATTATCATTGGACCAGCAAGACACAATCAAGAAGTTGAGTCCTCGAAGTGTGAAGAAGCATACTGAAACCTAAAACAACCCCCCAAGGTGATTTACTCTCTTATTTTCAGAGAAGTAATGCAACATGATTGTGTGAAATGGTTATGTTGAAATTATGGGCGAATGTAATTATTTGGACTATGATTGTGTTACAAAAAGTTACTTATTTGGACAATATTATTGAAAGAACTCTATGACAGTCTAATCTTAGGAAGATGCCTGTTTGGAAAATTTTAACAGAAAGGTACACTGGGCCAGACAGTTTGATATCAGAATTCAACAATACAAATAACTAGGAGTGTGAAACACGCTCAAGTCAGCTTAAAAGAAATGGCAGACCATTGACTTGTTGACTTACCTGCTCTGGTATCTCTCAAGCTAGAAAACACAAGTTAATTAAGACAGATTTGAATTAATCAACTTTGGAAATTTTAGTTTCCTCTCTTGGAAGCATCCATGCAATAGAAAACAAGACTTGACCTTTAATTTATGAGCAGGAGCTCCTTAAATTAAAAACCTAAAAGAAAATTCAAATTTATGTTTACCCAAAACCATTATATTCATTTAGAGTGATCATAACAAAATCAAGATTAATTCAGCTGAACAAAAATGAAAACTGCCAGGGAAAAATGGTCCAAATTTTACCTTTTGGTTCTGCTATTTGAGCTTCAGAACCTTTCTGCTTGGATATCTAAATAGCTGCAATGGAACACAAAAGATTGAACAATGTCAACAGAGAACATAGAAGAATTAAAAGAACGCATTAATTTATTGTAGGTACACCATATATGATATCTTCTGCAGATTTTGACGTGAAGGCCATTGAGTTGTTAAGATCAATAAGAATGGAATTTATTGTAGGTGGACCATGTACACATGAATGGACAACTTCGTGATCACCACAAGTAAAGAAAGAATCCAATTAATTTATTGTAAGTAG